TTTGTCATCCACCAGTCAATATCTTTGACACATAGCTCAACAGATGACTTAGCTTGAGCGAGGTCAGCAAAGCAGTCAGTTTTAAAAGAAATGTAAAGTTGAGAATCATCAGCATACAAATGGTACTGTAGACTATGAAAATTGATAATATCAGCAATCGGAGATGTATATAATAAATACAGCAAGGGACCTAACACAGATCCTTGAGGCACCCCATGTGCTAAACAACGTTGTGATGACTGACAATCTTAATTTGCACAAACTGTTTGCGAGATTTAAGATATGAATCAAACTAAGCAAGGGCATTACCCTTTATACCAAAACAATGAGAGAGTCTAGATAACAGTATCAAATGGTCAACCGTATCAAAGGCTGAGGACAAGTCGAGTAGAAGGAGTGTAACCGACTTGTTATCATCAACAGCACGCAGTATGTCATTTTGTACTTTTATTAAGGCCATCTCAGTCAAGTGCAAGACCTTGAAGGCAGACTGATACATCACATCAAGATGGTATGTCTTTACATAGTCAGTCAATTGTTCAGCAACGGCTTTCTCAATGATCTTTGAGATTAGTGTCAGATTGGAGATAGAACGAAAATTTGAAAACTGTTTGAAGTCAGCATCAGGTTTCTTCAGGGACGCAGATAAGGCAGCGACTTTCAATGCATCAGGCATTCTGCCAGTTGAGAGAGACAAATTGACAAACTTAGTTATTGTAGGTAGCAACACTGAGAAACAGCCCTTTAGAACCATTGCAGGTAAAGGATCCAAGACACATGACTTAGAAGAGGGCTTACATGCAAACACCTTTACTTCCTCTTGGAATTTTAGAAACATAACCTTTATTTCCTCTGGAATTTTAGAGTGGTTATATAATTTTCTGATATCTTTGAGAATTAAAAACATAAACAAAAGAAAAACAAAGGGAAAAAAATTGAAAATAAATATTATATGTATGTCTTCTTTTCTCATCAAAAGGTCACTATTTGACAAGAAAAGAAAAGAAAAGGCATATTTTTTGATGACTATCTTAAAATTGCAACATTATTGAAAGCAGGCATATGTAGCATATGTACATTATATATATATTGTGGGAGGAAAAAGACAAGTAAACTAAAAGTTCATCCCTACAAGCCTGTTTCGTGGTCGCCCCATATTATATTTACATTCTTTAATTGTGATGCGAGGAGTGTCACTTGGCAAAGGTATCCAGGCTTTTGTACATGTCTTATAATCAGAAAAAGTACTAGTCCTAATCCATCAGGAAGAGCATACCATTGCTTGGCTTTCATTGCTTGGCAGAAAAATATGAGAAGGAAAGTAGTCTATAGGTGTTAGTTCTAGGCTTTCTAAGAGACAACAAGTGGCTGCCATGCAAATTATAGTTTGTACAGCGAGTAATATACATATTTCTAACATAGGTAGGATACTGACTGAAGAATAAGCTTTAGTAAATTAATGTAATAAGTTTTGAATATGCTTTTTGTACAGCGAAGCTATTTCAACCTTAGTATGCAGGGTCCTGTAGCCAGAACTGTAATCTGTTAATATAAATCTAAGTAAACATTTGTTAAGTGCTTCCAGCTCTTCACTGTTATGCATCCCACAAAAATACCATATCAAAGAACAATAATAATAAATGTGCAGCAGAATGAAGGCCTTGTACAAATTTTAAAAGAGATTAAGTATCTCTGCAAGTTATATTGCAAAAAGAATAACATAACTTTAAATTAATTTTTACAATTACAGCAAAGTAGAAAAAGCTTCCCTAAAAATAAACCTTTTTGGGGTAATTGTAGAAAACATTTTTTAATATTCTGATACAGGAAATTGTGTGCCTGGAATAATCCTCATCTATGCGAATATCCATACAGTTATCCCAGTTGTCAACATTGGGGTCGTAAGCTTTCAGACATTGCTTCCTCTCTTCAACTCTCTCTTCATTTCGAAAACATCCCAGAATAGAAATCTTTCCTCTGAAACTTACTGCGCTTGCTGGGCCTCTTGGGGCAACCATGCTTGGGATGCCAGTCCAAGTGTTTGAAGCTGAGTCATACATTTCACAAGGCTCCCCTACTGTTGAATTAGGTTGTAGTCCTCTAAATATAAACAGTTTTTATTCGATGGATACACCACCAGCATTCTCTCTGCCTGAAAGAATGGAGGGACACTCTTCCCAACCGTTTGTTCTTGGATCAAATCTGTCAAACGTTTTAAGGTACCCACTACCTCCAGTTGCATAAATGTAGCTTTCACAGGCCACTGCACAAACTTTAGATCTTGAATTACTCA